TAGATAGATAGATAGATAAAATTATCATCTTGTCTTTAATGTGTATATAATTTCTTGATCTGCACATTCAGACCTGCTGCTGTTTGGAGTTTCTCGGCTGATGAATTGTAGTTTTCCACCGCAGCAGTTAAACAGCGGCGGACCGATTTGGCCGAAATGTGAACTATTAAAGCTGCAGGGTGAGATGCTCTGCTCTGCATCAGCCTGCTGTGAACATACAGCCTCACTGACCTTAATGCAACTCATTTCAAGTCATATTTAACTCTGCATGCACACACATGCTCAACTTTTGAAGCTCTTTGCCTCATTTGTTTCAGAATTAAGTAAAATTAATAATGCTTTATTTTTCCTTGACTACGAACTCCTCAGTTGTTAAGACAAAAACAGCTATAAGGCTCTTCTTCACTTAATTATAAAAAGATATTTCAAACATATCTGACGTAAATGACTTTATGTTTGGATGTTTTGGGGGGAGGTGGGGGGGTTGCAGTTGGTTTATGGCAGCTGGAGAAGCAGCAGCAGGCCTAATGGTTTGTTATTATGACCTTTTGTGTTTCCATTAGTCTCTCCTCCCCCAGAATTTGGCTTACAGTATGTGATTTAACCGTGTGTACATTTGCACACTGGAGCTGCAGAGAGGCCCTGAACCTGCCGCACAAGAGGCGCTTTTAATCTGTTTTAATGTAAACAGATGGCTTTGCTCAAAGGCACTGAGTCACCATCATATTTAAAAGCTTCCATTAAAGCAGCTCCTTTAGGTTGTTTACAGCTGAGGGCAGGCCGGGGTGAGTGTGATTAGTCTAGCACTCCAATGTCCAGCTAATGACCACTTAATGTTTTAAACTCTGACTCTGCAGAGCAAAGAGTAAAACAAAAAACCTGGAACCACAAAAGGAAACGCAGGGTTGTGATGGGATTTATTCACTCATATGATTCCAGTGGAGTCAATATTGGACCTTTGAAGTGGAGTTAAAGAAAAGTTCTATCATTTGGGTTATTATCTTGTTGTTAGTGTGCAATTAAATGCAAGAATTTACCACTGACTGTTTATAAATCACCACCTGTGGAAGTCAACCAACACCAAACTCCATATCATTTCAATACAGATCTGTATGTATCAAAACTTGAAAACTGTAGAATTTGTATTATTTTCCCTGAAAGAGTTGTGCGTAGAAAGTAACCGAGTACATTTACTCAAGTATTGTACTGAAGTAAAATTATGTGGTACTTGAGTATTTACATTTTATGCCACTTTATTCTACAAATATTGTACTTTTTTACACCACTACATTTATTCTTTAACAAGAGTTTACATTAATAAAACCCCACACTTAAAAGCTTATAAAAGGCAATAAATGTTACAGAATTAACCAGCAGTTTACCTTTTTTGGCTTGTGACCTCTTAGTTGTTAGAAGTTCAACCAAATTCAATAAAATTCTTAGATGGTTTTGTTTAAATATCTGTTTTATGTTCATCCAAAATTCCCCATAAAAAGAACAAAGATCTAAACAAAGTCCAGAAAATGAAAACAAATTTAGCAGAACTTTTGTTCTCCCGTTAATCATCTTACAACGGCCCGGACCCCTCGGTTGGAAACCAGTGCACTAAAACTGTATATAAAGTAGTTAAAAGTTGCTCCACCTTGACCAGCTGTAACAATAAAATGCTACTTTTAATGTTATTATTAATGCATCAGTATTACTGTATTAGTAATATTTATAATTTAACACTGAGGCAGTTTTTCTGCAAAATGAGTATTTTTACTTTTGATACTTTAAGTATTTTGTTGATAATACTTTTGTTACTTTGTGTGTTCATCTCTCCACTAACACTATGATTCTTATTTTCATATTATTTAATTATCTTATTGTTTCATTAAAGATTTATTTGTAGTTTGTTCTGAAAAAAAAGTGAAAACTACAGTTGTGAAAAGAAACAATCAGAGAACAAGAAGAGAGAGGTTTTGTCACTGGGGGGAGCTGCTTGTACATTTACTGTCTTCATTTGCTCATTAATGTTTTATAAGAATTATCAAGATTCTCTTCAACTATATTGATTATATTGAAAAATGTGCATTTAGGCCTAATACTTAAAGGCTTGAAACATGACATAATAAGTACTGTTATATAGTACTTTACTCCATTTCAGAGAGAAATATTGTACTTTTTACTCCACAATTTTACAGCTTTAGTTATTTTATATATTAATATTTTACTTATTTATTTATTTCATTTCAACAGCTCTTTTTCTATTTTTTTTCTGTGCTGCTGTAACAGGTGGATTTACTCCTCATGATCAATACATTCTTATCTCTTATCTTAATTTCAACATAAACATAAAATATGATGCATTATTATAGATTAAACTAAGAGTATAGGCCTTAAATGTAAAACACAATTACTTATGAATGTGCCAGTAATATTGATTTAATACTAAGGAATCCAGTTATATTACTTACATTTCCTGCATAATGATGCTTTTGATGCTAAAAGTACATTTTGCTGATAATATTATAATATATTTTATTTAAGTAAAGTTTTGAATGCAGCACTTTAACTTGTAGCAAAGTATTTTTACTAAATAATAAAATAATACTCATTCCACCACTACCTAGTAGATGCTTAATCTAATCGAAGATGTTTACATTTTACAGCTAACAACATAAAGTCATCC